TGCTGCCGGCGTCGGTTTCTGGGATCTGTGGCCCATCGTGGATGCCAGCACTTCCCGAGGCTGGCTTGCTGAGAGAAAAGCTGAGACAAATCCATCACCGTCCTAGGAGGTAAGGTGCAGCAGCCACGGGATTCCCACGCAGTAGACCCGAGGCACTCTGCGCCGGGTTTTGGACCAGTGTTTGGTCACTAGCACTTAGATCGCTATTGCATCCCTGGATGTCAGGTGGTTCTTGAGTTAAGGGCAATAATTTGTTTCTGTGGAGCATGGCATCTGCTCCTAAATGCTGTCAGCTCTGCCCTCTCTCCCCCACCATCAATGTTTTTAATAATGCATTGTCTACAAAAATAGTCTACAAAAAAGGGTCAGTTTTTAATTGAATTGTACCATAAAAGTGCAGAAATGTTTATACAACTTGTGTAAATAATATATAATTTTCTTGTTCAAATTAAATAATTACACAGTCAAGGATTGAGGTCAGTGCTCTGTAGAGGCCAGTCAAGTTTGGCCACACCAAACTCATCCTACCATGTCAATATGTACCTTTCTTTGTGTACTGGGGTACAGTCATGCTGGAATAAAAAGGGGCATTTTTCAAACTGTTCTTAAAACCATAGAATTGTTCAAAATGTCTTGATATGCTGATGCATTAAGATTTCCCTTCAATGGAAGTAAGGGGCATAGCCCAACCCATGAAAAACAGTCCTATACCATTGTTACTCCTCCATCAAACTTTACAGTTGACAGAATGCAGTCAGGCAGGTTACATTCTCCTGGCATCCACCAAACCAAGACTCACCCATCAGACTGTCAACAGAGAATAGAAATGAAAAATTCAAAACGCTCTTACGCAAAATAGTTTTTGAGCGTGAGTGTATAGCTGGAGAAATAGATAACAATGTTAAATATGCACTTAACCAAATAGTAAAGAGAGCAGGTGTTTATTATCAAAGCCTGTTGGCTAAACCTCTGACTGATATATAGAAACCATGATAGTAGTATACTTTCAATATCTGGCTTTATTAATTTATTTGCCAATGTAAGGGAATTATCTAAATATCAGGGTACCATATTAAGTAGTGCAAATGAATACACTTTTAAAATGCAAGTTAGATGAGATGGTTTGATATGTTAATTACCAGAATAATGTGGATATCAGTCTCTAATATGTGGGGACTTTCCACCAGAATATTCAGGAAAGTATAATCAATGGTCTGCCGCTATATATACACGCACATCTAAACAAGAATAAGAACTGTTAATAAATCTGCAACAAATTAAATTAAAGGTGGACCTATTATACCTTTTAACATTTCTCAGGGTTAAGTGGTTAAATTAAATAGGATAATAAGAATGGTCACATCAAAATATATGCAGATTTGAAACAGTTAGAATGTTCCTTCTTAGTCTTTATTAGAGATGTCCCGAACAATTCGCTGGCGAATAGTTCCTGGCGAACATCGCTTGTTCGCGTTTGCCGCAG